AAAAAAAAAAACATACTGAAGATAGTGCACATTCGATGAATAGCAAACATGACAAGAAAATTGAAACCAATAGATTTTTTAGGTTGGAAACTCCTACAATTCCGGATAGTGATATAAATAAATACTCGTATTTAGTTACTGTGCTCCCTTTCCTTTCCTTGATTAGTCTAGCATTCGTTAACGAAATAAAAGTCTGGGTTTTACGAACGTTACCGCAATTCTATTATGCGATATTTTAGGAAAACTTAAGAAAAGGTCAAAACAAAGGGAAAATATAATGTAGTTCCACTGAGATGTGAATTATGGCTGAAAATGAGAATAAGTTGAAGCATATTGTGCTGTGCTATCGGAGCAACAAGAAAAGTATCTATGACAAGATAAAAATTTAAGAAAATTTGGATAGAACAGTTCTGAGAGAAGTTTGAGGAGCTGTGAATCATTATGCGTGCACACGTTTCGGTGAGACCATAAATGACAACAAATAATTAATAAATAAGCATACATCTATATCAAGAAGTGAGAATGCAAACACTTGAGCAAAAGCCATGACAAGCCTGCCTTGCTTGCGGGATTCATCGTTTGCCGGCCTCTACCATACTGTGCACATCCGCTATAATTGTTCGAGCAACTTCGACTGCGATCTCTTCTTCTCTGACAGTGGACTTATCCAAATATTTACGCAGCTTCTGTCGAATCCTAAATGAAGCTAGTCCTTAATATACTGATGATGTACACAGAAGTCAGATTTTGTATGTCCGCGTATCCGTGTAAATGTGACTACTCGTCCGCTGCTATCTGATTCTGATTGCTTACCAGGCATGATAGAAGAGGTAGTGCTTCGGCGTGATCGGTTCAAATGGGGTGGGGGTACTTCTTCCCGAAAAACGTGTCGCGCTAGCCGCACCTCGCAGAAATGTCACGGACGATTTAGAACGGAATCTGTGAAACAGGGATCATTTAACATCCCTGGCTACTTCTTTCTTTCCCCATGCGGTCTCCATCGTTGAATGGTGATAAGAGGTTGATATTCAAACGCTTAGATATAACAAAAACGAAAAAACGCTAAAAAGCAGAAAAAATAAAAAAGCAAAAACACAATGCACGCAACGAAAAAACCGACTAGCGGGGATGCGGGCCGTATTCGGCAATCGCAGTTTGAACTGCGAGTTGAATAAAAAAGATTTGCCACATACGACAAAGCGAGCGCGAGAACTCGGGAAGAAGTTCCACCACGAAAATAATATGAAACAGCCGAATATCGTTATCGAGCTTGCCACTGTTGGAAGTTTAGCATATAATGTCAGCCCCTCAGTCAGCTGAAAAGTAGCCGTTTTCACACTAGAGGATCAGAGAAGAGAACCGAACCACTGCACCATTGAACCACAGAAATGACTGACAAATGACTTCATTTTATGAATTTCACAGATCTGCCTGTAACCACACTGTGTGACCCTCCACGCGCGTGCTATCGTTCCAAGACAAAATATTTAATAATCAGCGTGTTGGGGACGAAAAGAAAACCAAACGAACTTTGATGGCGTTGTGTTATCCTGTGCAAGCGAATCGTCATAGAGAACCCGGTACTGACCCATACAATCAATCTCGGCAAGGTTGCTGCAAATGTGGAAGTTTGCGTATCACATCTAGTGAAACTAGTTTCAAGCTCATAGATACAGTTCTGTATTGAAAGAAAACGAAGTCAAACCAGCAACAACTACAAAATAGTCAAACACATCGCAGAGAGTGAAAAACTTAGAAGTGTTCTGAAAACGTACAGACTTCTGTTACGTCTTACGAGTAGAGGCGAAGGCTGAGATGATCTCGAAGGTGGCGTGCTCTTAAAATCAGGAACATCGAAATGCTGATTGAAAAGTAATGCCTGCGTGTCCGATGATGAAGATCCGCACTTCACGGCACGATTAGAACGAGGCAATTCAACCTGCAAGTCAACACATCCTCCAGGTTTTTCTAATTTGAAAAAGAACAGAGAAGAAAAACGCTGAAAACGAGAAGAAGAATATGAAAGATTATCATAAAAAATAGCTCCACGGAAAGTTATGTGGGTTTTCTTATAACGTAGGTAACCCATTCAGCTGACCCGTTTTGCGAATTGACAAAACATAATACGATAGGGTGCTTGACCGGGTAAGCCTTATATCAAGAGCTCTGAATCACTTTCAGATATTTGACGACAATTTGTTCGGAACGTAGAATAAAGCGTCTACTATAACAAAAGAAGACCGAACTTGGTAAGTGCTACATTCGATGATAACAATAGCAACAAAAAATAGTAACAAAAGCAAGGTGATGGTGGTGGAACCTTAAACTGTTTCTGTTAGTCGGCTGCCAAATGAAGTTATTGCTAAACCCTTTTTTTTTCTTTACTCCTTGTCATGAGTGGTAAGAGCGGTTAAGAATACGAGCAGAAAAAAGGGGGTAATCAATAATTGAGTAATCCTTCACAAATGCACAAATGGCAGTCAGGGGTTCGGCACCTTTCGAAAATCACCCCATCTAATTATAAAGCATACATACGAATATCATAGTTAAAGTACTCTAGCAAGTCAAACCGATACGAAATCGAAAGAAAAAATGCTCACCGTGTATTGTATTTCAGCTTCTAATTCCTTCAAGAACTCTTGATACGCCGGAGACTTGACGAAATTCTCAAGATACCTCTGCAATTCCAGTTTTTGAGAGTTTTCGAGCAAGATTTGTCTCTTGTAAAGCGTGTAGGAATGAGCCCAAAAGTAAGAATGATGAATATTGCTTGACGTAGTTATTCATCTGGGCGCACAAAAAGGCTGATTTTTTTATCGGCTGACCACCGCAAGTCATTATTTAGGCCAAACCCGCATTCGTAATGCTATTATGACTCTGAATGGAATCGTGGGGGCTTTAATTATGTGGTCGGTGCCTTCTAAAAACGAGGTCAACAAACAACAAAGGACTACTTCTTCTACCCTTAAGCTTCTGTTTTGGTCACAACGATTAACGACTGCATCGAAAGCTAACATCATGAATCCGTAGAGAGCAGTTCCGCTTCGCTATATGAAATGAGGACCGCAATGGACGTCCATCGTCAGAACAAATCTCCGATTCCATTTTTCTACGAGCAGTATCTCCTATTTCAATAGGGCTAAGCGCTTGCATGGAAAAGTACCTGCAATGGATATTTACAAAAAGGTAAGCTCAGAGATTACAAAGTTAATATTGAGAAAAGAGTGANTTCTAGAGAAAATGGATAAGAACATGAACAGATATAAGTAGACAGGGCAACTATAAGCAATATCCTCAGGAATTTCGAAATATATGAATCTTAATCGATTTTTGTCGAGCCCTAACTTTGAATTACATAACTGCTATTGAGATTTCCAGAACGCTTTGATCTGCATTAATTTATTGAGCAATACAAGTAGCAGAAAGGGGTAAGGTTGTGTGTAATAGTAGGTGCCCACCCATCGAAACCGAAAATGGAGCAATAGCAAGTCCTATCAAAACACTTGAATAAGAGTCCCATTGGCAGAGATCCCAAGTAAATCCTGCTTACGGTGTTCATGAGCGAACGTGGTGACAACACCGTGAAAATTCTGAAAGCAATATGCGTTCACAACTCACGAGAATTTTCAGCGCTCTGTGAGCAACCTGCCCTCTCTTGTCCCAACGACGCTTTGAAGCCCTCAACGTGTATCCAAAACTTTATGAGATTCAATTTATCTGAAAACGGTGTTAGAGGTAACGTTTATAGAAAAATCTTTATAATCAGAGCGAAAAAGTACGAGAAGATCTCATAGGTTGTTTGTTTGTTTTGTTCGAGATAGGAGAATAGAAGAACCCGCAAAAACGTAAAACTAAAATTGATCACTTCACGCCAGGAAGCTTCATGCCTCCCACATCACCAGCACCAGGTCATTGGTATCATTGCTTTGCGATTATCAACTCTCTCGAGCATCAGTTTGGTCAAGTTTCCGCAGGATTCCAATACGTTTAGAATTTATCGGAACAGCAGAAGCCGACTGTCCAAGAGGCGTTTAACCAGAATGATACAGCTATATCAAAGAAATGTAGTTTTTCACTGACCACCATGGCTGCACATTCCAAGGCGCAACAAGAATTATGACAGCACAGTGGTAGCAAAACCAGTTGCCACTTTGCACCCCACCTAGACTTTACCGGCCACAGATCAACACGGGGACTCTGCGATTTTCGCAGTCTACAATGAAAATTGAAAACTTTTATCTGAGAACCCACCGTAGTATTCTAGGAACTGTATGAAAAAAGTCAAAGCAGAAGCATCTGCCAATAGAAGATCTACGTTTTGGGCGAGAACACATGAGCTCTGGATAGTTACGTGTTCCCTTTCATTATCTGCAAACAAGAAAACATTTCCACAAACCTTACTCTGAAATCATCATACTCACTTCATTAGGCTTAGATTTAAGTTTATTAGTATTAGCATTTATTAGTATGAACAAGATCAATTCCTAAAGCCTGACCTATAACATACCTGGATCAGTTGTGTTGTTTACATCTCCAGAGTCAATAGATAAATGCTCTGTAGCGGACAAAATACTGTCAAGTGCATTCGAAAGATGTCTCACACGCACTAAATAAAAAATAGCATTCAAAAAACAAACAAATGGTGACTAATGTCAAACGCCGCCGGTTCGTCAACAATGATATTATCATTAACCAAAAGGAACGCCACCCTAGCGTCAATAGTAGGTGACCAATATTGGTATACTAATAAAATCTACCTTGAGAATTCCTCTTTCGGAGTTTTTCAATTACAGCATCCATAGTATATCAAGCGACAAAGAAGTAAAGTGACATCGTCCCAGATGATCAGAATGGATCTTCAGACGACGAAGACTAGGAGTGGATTTGCTTCTTGACTTAGGAACCAGTTAGAACATTTGATGGAGAGTTTATGCGCTTTCTGAGGCAAAAACGCACCCTACCAAACACGAATCCATTTAAATCCACCGGTCCAATTCGTGGCATTTTGCCAGCTTTTGCCAATGTTCGCTGCGGGACCTCGATTGGCTCGATGCCGCGGCCGAGAGCCCGCCCCATCCCCGATCCGATCCCCTTCACAATGCCGTTTCGAGTTGTTTTCTTATCTGAGAGAGTCGTTGGAATGCTTTAGAATAGAGCAGTGGCGCTTAGTTGTGCTTACAGCACGATAATTTCCTGCTTGAGTTCTTCGTGGCACTAAATTTCACCTTTTTCCTTTTTTTGTATTTGGGTTTCGATTTTTATTTCTTCGATTACAAATGTGTAGTGTGGCGGTTGTATTTTGAAAAGCCAAAAGGGTGAAAATGTAATTGGGGGGTGCTAGCGCCCTTCCGTCTCGTTGCTCTGCGTCTCTGACCAAGGCGGCAGGGTTACGTGACTACTTG